TTACTGGTCAAACTGGGCACAAAAAAAAAAAAGGCACTTAATGCACTTAAGGTGCATTAGTGCACAAAACCAGCTGCTTTTTACTTACTTGGGTACCCAATACAGAGAGAGAGAAGTATTGGGAAGTTTTCAGGTTCAGAAATAGCTGCAGGAGATCTGTCATGCTGTCACTGTCAGCCTTTCAGATTTGTTTCTGTCCCTCAGCTTTACTATCTGCCACAGAACTGGTAATTTTTTTTCCACTTATATACAGTATTTATGGTTCTGTGACGATAGGTTCAGGACAAACAACCTGGAATTTGGCATACACCGAACCAAGCGCCAAGAAAAATCATTAGCTCCATATAAAACCAAAGTGATCCCAGTGTCTGCTACACACCTTTGTAATAGCAAAAGAACGCTCATTAACAGAACAATTGACAAATCCGCCAAAGGAATTTTCATGGCTCCAATCTGTTGTCTGTAGTTAGCCCACCGGTCTCCAGAGAGGCATGTTGTGCCAGGAGAGATGTATTATCCATCAAATCAATTACTTCCAAACACTAAGTAGTATTTCAGGTGGCTGTCAAGTACACAAACACAAAGACTTCCAGCACTGCTGCAACTTGTTAACTTGCTTATTGGTTGAATTCAGTTGTGTCATAGGACTTGTGAATTTTAACCTCGCAGAGAAAAGTACAGCTGCGAAACCAACCTCGTGGCTCCTCCAGCACCTTCACCTACACAAACCCGGCAGCTGTCCTCCTTGCAGCGAGGGTGACAAGGGTACTCCTCCCCAAACGCCAGCGTTCAGCCAGAAGCAGTGCCAGCTCCTTACCACATGCAGCTTTCCAGCTGAACTAGGGGCCATGGCTTCCGTTAGGTGCAGGATCGTGCAGCTGAATCCCATAACCCCTTGCCAAGGGTCAGTATTAAAGCCATAAAACAGGCACAAGTCTGTAAAAAGGGAACTGAGGAGTCTGCACCCCAGCTCCTAAAGTCTTGAATATTAAGTGGGAAATACGCCAACGCCGGTTCTGCGATTGTTAACTGAGCTAACAGTGTCGCCTTTACCGGATTAGCAGGGAGGGAGGAAATGCAAAGGCCCGCTGCGGTGCCTTTTGAACGAGCTCCATCTTGTGCTTGAATCTGGAACAACAGGTCCTCAACACCGAGCTGAGCGACAAGTACCGAACAGTGGAAGATCTCATCGCCAAGAAGACGGAAGAGTCGGCTGATGCTAGGAGGAAAGCCGGCATGTTGCAAGATGAAGCTAAAGCCTTGTTGGCTCAAGCAAACAGCAAACTCCAGCTGCTCAAAGGTAAGGCTGTTCTGAGGAGGTAAGTTGTCACCTTGGAATATGAAGTGATTTCATGCTGGTTTAACTGGCTATTCATCAGCAGTAGGGAAAAATCCCAGAAGCTAATCCTTTGTTACTGAGGTTTGATCAGCTTTCCTTATTCTTATGGACACAACATAGTCTTTTGAATCAAAGATTTCTATAAAAAAGCTGAAACTTGAGTGGTGCAGAAACTTCTGGTATGGCACCTATGACTGCTCCGAGAACCCCAACAAGGAAGGAACGTAACTACTGTGCTTACAACAAGGACTAACCCATTCAAGCAAGACCCTTATCTTCAAACAATGCTCCCCCCACCCCACCCTGGACAGCTATTAAAACAAAAGGTAATCAGGACCACGTCAGTTCCAGTTTACAGATTAATTTAACATTTACTATTGATGATTAAAGTGGATTGAAACAGGAGGGGGCAATCTGCCCATAGCTATCAGCAAGAGAGCTAAAGCTTTCCTTCTGTTTTTGCCAGGCCAGGAACTCATTCTTCCCCTTAGCTGCTGCTCCTGCACAGTTACAGTGACTCACTGAGTAGTGTTAACCATAACAAGCCAAAATATTTCACTGTTCTGTAAAAGCCACCACAAAGCAGAGAATGACAGCTGTTTACAACGGGAATCAAAGTATACTTTTGGATTTCCACTTATGGAAAATTACTTCCTTGTTGCTTTATGTCCCAATGTTAAGGAAACAAAAAGGTGCCATTCCAGCCTTTGGGGTTTTTTTCCCTTAATCATTCTTTTCCGCAATAAAAATAAATTTGAATAGTAGTTTATCTGTAACTATAATGATTTACATTTCACTGCATTAAAACACCACTAATTAAGCTGGTTTTCCCCTTCCTTTGCTGACAGACTTGGAAAATACATATGAAAACAATCAAAAAGTTCTGGAAGACAAAGCCAAGCAGTTGGTGGAACTGGAAGAGACAGTTCGCTCCCTCTTGCAGACCATCAGCCAGAAGGTTGCTGTTTATAGCACCTGCTTATAAATGGGAGCAGGAAATGCTTGTGTTCAGGATGAGGTTTACAAGTATTACACTAGTTCTTTTTGGCATTACACTAAGACCTGAAAGTGAACAGGTTTTATACTGACTTTCAAGTCACAGAACCAAAGACAAGTAACTTTTTGATGTTGAAAATAAACAGTACTTTTGTATCACTGTATGTACCTATGTAGTTCCTTCCTATTTTCGGTAACTGAAATGGTGCCTCAATTAATCCTTTAGGCAAGTCTTGTTTAGAGATCTAATAAAATCTTGGCTCCAACTACGCACTTCTAAATAAGGGCTCCAGTTACTGTGGAACACAGAATGGTCACTCAGAACAGAATTACAAGTGAATGAAGAAATACTGTCCCAGTGTGGTTAGCTAGCATTTATGCCACAGAACTCAAAAAGGGTTATCTGCCCTCTGCACGATGTCTGTTTAGGCTTAATGCTGGTTTCATATCACTGAGTATGAAGCAGTATGTGAAGTGGAAACTGAGGTCAGGACTGAAGGGGTGAAGGTGGTTTACATTTCAAGCACTGAATTTATGTGATAAACCAAGCCTGGGGGATCAAACCTTTCTGGAAAAAGAACTGCAGAATTTCACAGGGTACTTAATGTGACTTGGTTAAGGAGCTGCACACAGACAGCACTCTTAACAGCTTGCACTTAACACTTCCCCCGCCCCCCGAAGTGCCACATCCAGTTCACGGTACTTAAGCTCAAAGTTCTGCAGAACAGTGCACCTTCAGACAACTGTACAGTACTGCACAAAGGATTTACAACACTCATCAGCTACACAAATCGTCATCCAAAACTGCAACATGCATTGACACATCCTGACTGCTAACTCCGACCTGAGGAATCCATCTGTGTATATATACTTACCTAACCTTGACTAACGTCATTGACAGGCAGGGCAACCATGGCAGAATATATCACCACCTAGGCAAACTGAAGAGCAGTATGTTTAAATGAATAATTACCCCCAAGCTCCACAGATCACAAATGCTACAGCAAAAAAATCCATCACAGGAACTGGTTACCAGACCAGCCTCATAGACCGCTTCACTGGCAGTATGCTTCACAGCCCTTAAAAACACAATTTGCAAACTGCACCACTTGGACTTAACTGCCATCAGAGCATTGACAGGTGGCTCAGTAGCTCATCTTACTTTTACCTTTACAAGCACTTTTAAACTTAACTAGAACAGGAATGACAGCAAGAGAACAATACAGTACCAATTTTAAGGCCTTGAATTTTATTTTCAAGTGTCTGGGAAACTGTCGTCTCCAGTATAATTTTAGTACTGTTCTTTAAGATTAAAGTTTCCCTGACTCCCCAAACTTAACATGAACAACATGAGATACAAGAATTGTAACTTGTGAACCTCAAGGCTGCAATGAGACTCCCACAAGTATTGAGGGAGGTGGAGGAAGTGGACACAAAACTGTTTCCAAACTTTCTAGGGCTTCTAGGAAGAACTTGCAAAGCATAAGATTAACACTTAATAGCATTTACCTGAAGCAGGCAGAAGTGATTCTGAAATGCCAAGATCTACTGGAAGAACAAAGTTTTTCTTCCCTCGCTATTGTGTCACCTTTGCTTTCCCTTCAGCAACTTCCTAACAACTCCCGAAAGCAGAGCCATGTTAATTCCCTTAACCCAGCATATCCACGAATCAGATCATCTTGCATCCTGATGGTAAGTTTAATGGGCTGTCGTGGTTTAACCCCATCTACATTTAAAACAGGAGTTAAAAAAACAAACCAAAATGAAGAACAGTATCACTGCTGTTTGTTGATTAACTGGTATCTTAATAAAATGGCAATGCTGACATGTATTTCCATCACTCAGTATGGATAATGGATCGATAGTTGAATAAGAAGCTCTAAAGAAAGGTAGAAGGCTATAACCATCTTGTCTATACACACAACCAATCAGCTTTTGCACCATTTTCTGAATGTACATTTCTCACTCAATTGGCATAATGAAAAAGGACATACACAATACCAGCAGATACTAAGGTTTTCTTCAAGGCAGAAGAGCCTAACAAAAAAAAACACGCCAAAAAATGGCACCCTGCAGAGGAAAGGTTAAAGTGAGCTACTGGAATTGGGCACATCCCATATACATGTTAGGGATCTTCCAAAGATGCAATTTGTTTGTGAGGTTCTTCACCTATTCGACAGCCTAGACACTAAAAGGAGTAACAGGGCCGATCAGCGAAAAAAACCCAAGAAGACCCTCCAGCCACATTCAATATTTATTAAGCTCTCTTGCTACAGAAAGAGAGCACGAAACAGACAACAGAGAAGAAAGTATGTCTTAACTGTGTGGGAGCTGACACTGCAGCCCTTATGTGTGGAAGGTGCAGAATAACCCTCACGTCATAGCACTTAACAGCAAGTGCTGCTTCACTACCCAGTTTTAGCATTTCTAGTTTGAAAAAGTTGGACAATGGAAGCTCTAAAACCAAAAAAGATTAAGTAGCAGTAAGATTAATTTTTCTTCAATCTTTCATTTCTCCATCAGCACTTGCTTTTTCCCTGATGAGTTTTCAATATGAAAACACGACATGTGGAGAATCACACACACAGAGTAATTTCCTCTTTAAAAAGTCAAGACAGTTTTAATTGATTTATATGAGCCCCTCTTCTCCCAACATCCTAATGCTACTAGGTCAAAACAAGTTTTGGTACGTAAAGAACTTGTATGTAAGAAGTAGGTTAAATACCAACGTTAATCCTTTCAGAAGGAAACACATTTTTGTGCGGAAGTGACAGTGGCATTTTAAGTGCCAGTGGTATTGTTAAGTACCAGCATTCAACTGGTTTAGTTTATCACTACTTCAAATAAGAAAACACCAGGTATGCTGGACACTTACCCAGAGTTTTGACCAGCACACCTGGTAATCCCGTGCAGCAGTGAAATGTTTGGTTTTGAAAAAGAGAAGAGTTCTGTCAGCTGTTTTTCTGCAACATTCATTCATCATGTAAATAAACATGTAGTTTTAAGTATTTAATTTACAGAGACTGGATAATTCCACTTGTTCCAAACTCTACTTGTTTAAATATCTGATGTTTAAAATGAAGAGATTCACTTCATTCAGTCCCAAAATGCTCAGACTCGGCCTTCCACAAGGGCCCACAGTCCATTTTCAGAGATGTACTATACACATACAAATATCTGCTCTTTCATTTTAGAAGTTGATAGCTTTGCCAAAAGATGCTGCTAGGTTTGCTTCCCTGAAGGCTTCTGACACTGTCTGTAAAGAGCAAACACAAAAAGGGACAAGTCACTAACAGTCACATGTCAGTGTAACCCTGGTGTTCAACAGTCTGTTTAGAGAATAAACTTACTGGATGGGCATGGCAGACTCTGGCTACATCCTCACATGATGCTCCATATTCCATAGCAAGGGCAGCTTCATTAACCATTTCACCAGCACCCTGTAATTTAATGGTATTTCTAATTAGGACAATCTTTATGCAGTTGTCCAGGTTCTCCTGAACCAGTAACAGTTTGTAAATAAGCATCTTTTGCTAAAAAAGAAAACTTATAATACAAGTACATCATCTATGTGGTGACTGGGTCCAGCCTAGCACAAATCTAAACATAACGACAGCATTTGTTCTCTCGTTACTGAGGGTTGTGCAGTACCTGGGCATTTTTCCACTACAAGGTACTGGCCAGGTCATACCCACATCGTCAAAGTTACAGTATACGTTGTCACTGCTGAAACCTCCCCAAAACTTCAGTGCCCTCCTGGAAAGTTAAATGGCTAACTAGCTAAACAAAAGCATGTTACTACATCTGCACCCTCATTTTTATTTGTTTTATTTATGCGTATTTACTCAGAGAACATTTGAGGAGTCAGAAATAGTGAAGCCTCCTGTTACATTTTTAGCACTCATTAAGATTTTCCCCCAGCCCTTTCCCAATAAAGAAAATGAGTCTGTCTCACACCAATAAACCCAAGCTGTGCTTCCTTTAAGGCATGTTGATTTTTAAATGACTGGCATTGTGAAAGAAAGTAACTACCATGAAGTCTTATTGTGTATTCCTATCAGAAATAACGAGAATCGGATTCACAAACAAAGCCTATCCATTGGTGTTGACAGTATATCCATTCAAAGGAATATAAATATCCTTTCCAGGAAAACAGAGAGCAGTTTCAGTGTATAAAGCTTGCTTTAAGAGGAAGATGCATGGAAGTGTTTCTGCATACATCTTTAGAAGAAAAAAAAAAAAGATTATTTAAGGCTAAGAAACAAAACAGAGGGAGATTAGGGTCTAACTTTTGACCGTGCAGGACAGCAGAAAATGATACTTTTCCCAGATAGCATTTTCTGATTTCTCATCTTTACAAAGGACTTTTAATCAAAGTTCCAGAAGTTACTGACCCCAGACTTGGTGACTGTAGCATAAGGTTACCAGCTTTGCTGAAGTGTGAAGTTCAGAGAGGGGGAAAAAAGAAAATGCCAATGAAAAAGCCACAGTCTGTTCAGCTCCCTCAACTTCCAGAATTTGAGTCAACAACTTCTGCTGTTCTCTCGAGTATTTGGCAATATTCAAAAACGAAACCCAACTGGTCAGAGAAACCTATTAACCCAGCAATTCTAGGGAAAAAAGCCAAACCAACCAACAAAACAATGCTGGGTCTAACACCGAAGTAACAGAAAAGCAGGAAGGCGGGCAGGGCTGCAGAAGAGAACAGTAAATACAAATGACTATAGTAGACTCAAATCTTCCTTCTTCTTACAAGCACCACTCTTCCCAACGCGACAACTACTTTGCAACTGTGCCACGCTCACCAAAAGACCCCTACGAGGCCAAGGCAGCAGCACAATTTACAATACTTACTGCGCCCAAAATGTGAGCCCCCAACATCCTGTCGGTTGATTTCTGACTAAGTATCTTCACCATGCCATCCGTGTCAGCATTTGTCTTTGCTCTGCTGTTCGCAGCAAAGGGAAATTTCCCAATTTTGTATTCTATACCCTACAAAACAGATACGTGTTATGGAGTTAACAACCAATGAGAACGATGGAACCATCCAGACAATTTGGTAAGTACAAGAATAGAAGCAATACAAAAATAGAAGACACACAGAGCAATGTGTAAGAACAGCCACCAAAAGGGGTATAAGGGGGTATTAAAAAAAGATTAATTAGCAAATGAACGATATTAACTTCACAGAACAGAAGTCATTAAAGAGAACCATGATCGCTGGGAGGGCAGCATGCAGGAGGGAATCACGCAATCACACACCCACCCCAAGCAATAAATTCAGATGCAGAAATTCTCCTGGAAAAAGCAGCTGAACTACAAGACAACACCACCACACCCAAGGCGGAAAAAGAGTTTTGTTTGAAAAGAAAAACGAACAGTACCTCTTCTTTCAGCTGTTCTTCCGATTTGCCAACCCAGGCCACTTCAGGGTGAGTGTATATCACGGAGGGTACGCAGTTATAGTCAATGTGAACTGCTCCCCCAGCCATCCCTTCCACACACAGAATGCCTTCATCCTCAGCTTTGTGGGCCAGCATAGGTCCAGCAACTACATCACCAATAGCATAGATGCTATCAGACCAATGAAACAGAATAAGACACTGTTTAAAAACATCCTAGCACACCTAGGCTACCTTACATAATAGTTTGAAACATGTTACTGAAAACTCTAATCAAAACAGATTAAAATACTAAATTTCAAAAGAAATACATAGTATAAAAGAGCAGTTTCCACAGAATGGTCACACTCCAAGAAGTACCAGGGACATGAAATACCACAGTGACTTTTAAATTACGAAACTTCAAAAGCTGACTAAAAATCTTTAGTTCTTGAAATAAACAGAAATTTTGAGTTTTCCTTTCAGAAAAGAAAGCTATATCCTACAATCAAAAACAAAAAGAAATGCTTTAGTAGGTTAAAGTTTTAAAAATTAGAGTTCTGCTTAAAAAAGGTAAAAAAATATTTAGTCTTACTTACTTTGGAATTTTGGTTTGGAATCTGTTATTGACTGGGATTCTCCCCCTCTTATCGAGTTCAATTCCAATATCCTCCAGACCTAGATTTTTTGTAAAAGGACGTCTACCGATGCAAACCAGGAGCACATCGCAAGTTATTACTTCTGCCTTGCCACCAGCAGCAGCTTCAACACTACAGAAAAATAAGTAGCAAAAATGCTAAGCTGTAAACTTTCAGCATTATTATTTCTCTGACTAGTAACTAACATGATCCAGATGGCGACCTACTGCCTGGATCTGGCATCCAATACACTTGCATTCAGCCTGCCTCACGCTTCTTCCTTGCAAGACTTGAGGAGTACAAGAGGGAGGAAGGGACAGTAATTCTTACTACAGTTGTCAACATCTCTTAGATGCAGCAATTGAAGGTATACATCCACTAACAAGTAGCATGACCCGACAGGATCAGATCTGTACAGCAAAGTAACTGTTGCTGAGCACTCAATATCCAAACTATATCTATTTTGCGATGGGGTAGGGCCAGGTGTTCTGAGGAAGCTTTCTTCTGGCCCGAGAACCGAGGGCCTGTCAGCTGCATCCCTCAAGCGCATCTCTGTGTCTAACTGCACCCAGAACAAGTTCGGTTCATGTGCTCGGAAAGCGCAAGACCCGAAGCATGGGAAGTGAGGAGAAGCAGGAAGTGTTTCAAAAGCATACTCCTGAACCAAAAATGAAACTCTGAATGTAGAACAGACTGCATGAGAGGTCACACCAGCATCGGCGTGGTGTGTAAAGAAGCCCGAATCCAGGACCTTTACAGTGGTGGAAGGCAGACTATCCCAAGCTAAGGCAATACAGCAAATACAGGTCACCATATTAAGATTCCAGTGAAAAAATATTTAAGCTTACTCTTGTTAAGTAACATCAAGCATTTCCTTAAAACTCAAACTACAGTTTCTGCATAGAGGATACATTAACAAGAGAAAGAACAGAAGTAGTGAATACATATGGATTTTTTACAAAGCAAATTTGCTTTATATGTTTCTATATTAGCTGTTCACTGTAAGTCTTCAAAGGGCTTGAGTGTGGCCATTAAAAGACACTCTGGGGTTGTTTCATTTCTTTCTGCTCAAAAGCAATAAAATCTCGGCCACACTTACTTTGAGACAAGAGGAGGTATGGACAAAATAACCCTTCCAGTAAGCAGCCAAGAATTAATGGCGTGAAAATAACTGTATGAGAATAATGATACTTATGTGAATTATACCAGAAGCAAAGATCCTCCCTGAAAAGAATGATTTAGTGTTCTGTTTTGATTACTGATCTCACTAACAACACTGGTTTTATAGGACCACACCTTCAACTCAAGTCAATGGAACATCTCCCGATACAACACAGGATAGAAATTAAATTTCACTAAAGAATTAAATTTCATCCTAAATCCACTTTTTCCTGTTTAATAAATAGTATCAGACTATTTTTAAATAGGTTTGATGGATTGGGAAGAAGAATATATATGGCATTCCTTTAGTTTCAATGTTAAACACTTACGCTACATCAATTTTTCCATCTGATTTCTTGGTAGCACCAGTAACTTTGGTGTTCAGTTTAAACTTAAGTCCCTGTTTCTGAAGAATACGTTGGAAGTTTTTAGAGATCTCCATGTCAATTCCCATTCCACCAACATGGCCCATGAACTCAACAGCTGTCACATCTGCACCGAGGCGCTGCCAAACTGAACCCTGCAGTCACAACAATGTCAGTAAGAAAGTTTTTGAAAAGCAAACTTAATTTCTTTAATATTTACCACAGACTGTAAACTTTTCAAAAGCAGGACAACACATAACAACAAACGGACCAGTTTTTACAGATGTTACAATGTAGAATAAAACAAGTCAAACTTTACCCAGCCTTTCCACAAAAAAAAATAAATATATTTATCACTGCTTGTTTGCATACCCAAAACTTCAGTGACTGAAGGTATGTTTTAGGTTATAAGTATAGAAAAATTCAAAATCAGAGAATCTGAATGTAGCTCAGAAAACCCAAGGGAAATTGCTTGTGGTGTTCCAATACCACTACAAATTAAATCAAAACAATACCACATTAAGGAAATTTTATGCAATAAAATGGAACCACTGCTCCTCTGTATGTATTTATAACCATTGAAACTATCATCAGCTTCACCAACAAAACCGACAGACACCCTATTTACCTGCAGTTACCCACAATGCATCCAACACAGAACTTCACTTTGTTTACTAAAAAAACAGCAGGCCAAGGAACCAAGCAGTTGCAAGACCAGCAAATACACATTCTTTTTGAACCACACAGGTATGAGGCAAAAGGACTCAGACCAAGATGAACTACAAAGTCTCCACTCCTTTGGTTATTAGATAGAACGTGTACAATCATATCGCCTAAAAATTTATTTGGATTAACTGCTACACACAAGAGTTTATCCTGGCTTAAAATGAACTTCCCTTAAAAAAGGAAGTTCTCCCATCTATACATAGAGCAGGTACAAACCTCAGTGAAAGTTAACCCCTCAAAAAATCCACTATGTGTGAGGCCCTGTATGTTCCTCTCTCATTTCTCTGCTTAGCTAACCAGCTGCAGGCATACTGATCCTACAAACACCTGTCCCAGCTCTTCTGGTAGAAAAGGGAGCTAGCAGGCTATGATGTCTGAACTATTTCATTACAACTCACTCAACCAACTATCTGTTAAATCACAGCAACACAATCAAAGATAACACAAAAAATAACAGCCTGTTCCTTTATAAATTAAAGACCAAGTGGTTTAAGAATCCTCTCACCAGTTCCACACCAATGACTCCTGCACCAATGACAACCATCTTTTCAGGAACTTTCTTCAGCGACAGTGCACCAGTGGACGACACAATATTATCTTCGTCAATCTAATGACAAAGAAACCCACAAAGGGAGGTTTACAATCTCTTTTATACAGTATATGTAAAACACACAGAAGGCGAAGTGCAGCCAGATGCAAAAAATTACACATTAAATTACATGGATATAACATTCAAAAAAAGCACCATTAAGATTTCAAATACGTACAGTAATTCCAGGGAAGGGAGCAACTTCTGAGCCTGTGGCTATAAGTATGTTCTTTGTATTGATGACTTGTGTACTGCCATCTTCTTTGGCTGCCGTGACTTGGTTTTTGCCAGTTATTTTTCCAAACCCAGATACATGCACAACCTTTAGTAATCAGAACACAGTAAATTCAAATTCAAATTACTTACAGAAGTTATGCTACATTTAATCTGAATCTCAATAATGATTTAGAGAAGCTGCTAACACATACCTTTGCATCACCATCTGGTACAAATCAAAGTGATTGTATACTATTCTTTTAAATAGATTAAGAATGAAGGAACTGTCGATTTAAAAACTTCCTAGAAGATTCTGCCCTTGCCAAGTCAGTCAAATTCATTTATGTGGCAAGAACACGAAAATGTAAAAAGCAAGAAATTCAGAGCAGAAAAAAATCATGGATATACCTCAATATAAAATCCAAACTAACCTTGTTTTGTTTGAATAAATGGGCAATTCCACCTGTTAAGGCCTTCACTGCACCACTCTTCTGTTCCATCATCTTCTCCAGATTCAAACGGATTCCGGTAACTAAGGTTAAGAAAAAACACCTCTTCTATCAAGAATCGCAGTGTTTTTATTTAAAGGAGCTAACCTAAACACAGTTAACAGCTCTCACACAGTAAGATGTGTTGAATGGCCCTACTAAATGCTGAAGGTTACATTCACCAGCTGCTATGTTATTGAATTACAGCAGTATTACACTTTTCAAATATACCTTATCTATCGCCGATTCAGGGTTCAAGGAGCAGGTACATGTCCCTAGCCCTCCAACTGACAGATACAGGATAGCATTTATAACTCTAATTTTAAAGTTTTCTGACCAGAAACTATAGTAGTCAGATTTGAATGATTAAATTTGCTTATTGATGGAAACCATTTACGTTAACAGGCACTGAGTAGTTGCTCTTCACACTCACTTTCAATTCCTCTATTGGCAAAATCTTTTCCATGGGCCAGGTGATACAGATGTGAGTTGTTCAGCAAGGCCTAAAATACACACACAGAAATGTGAATTGGGACATACATTCACAACTGAATTAATTATTAATTATATTATCAGGAAAAAAAATAAATCTGATGTTATTTGCCAAACATTCTCAGTATTAAGGAAAAGTCCGACACAGATGTATTTAAAAAAGTGTGTTTCAAACACAGAAATTGCACACGCTAACTCTTATTGAAGTGCTTTATAAAAAGTTACATATTTAAGAAAAATAGAAAACACCTATCCTTTTTGCTCATTTCACCAGTGAAACTGGAAATGACTCCATGGGGAATAAAAAAAAAAAATAGAAACAGACTAAGAGGAAAGATAGATGATTCTGACTGACAGGAAAATTTCCTTATTACCTCAGACAAGAGATTACTTGTCAACAAAAGAGGAGGCAGAAAAACTGGATGAGGAAAATCTACACTGAAATCCCTGTTAAAATTTTAGCCTGTGCAGACACATGAGAGTTCAATTTCATAGTCGAGTAGTTGTGCTAAAGTTACTACAACTGTGAAGCTAGTTGAGCTGAAGCTAGATGGCTTAGAGCTAGCTCAGGGCACGGGACATTCAAAATTCAAAGCTGATCGACACCTCACTTTTGAGTTTTGCCTCAGTATATTCCGAACTTCAGCCTGAAAAGTTTAGGAAAATTAATATATCATTTAAAAACCTTATTCATACTGTATTTTCTCTTACCATGCTAATGGAAGCTCTCTGAGCAAACAGATTAGAAGCAGCAATACAGTTAGGAGGGAGCTTGGTAAGAACGTCTGTTACTACAGCCGTTACAAACCTGGCATTACCCATGTCTTCCTTCACCTGCTGGGTGCTAATGAGGCAGACTCCTCTCACCCAGCAATAGCACTGTTCTTACAAGGCCCCAGTTCTGAAATTACTTAAAACTGGATTGACAACATCAAATATCAGGTTCTTCCAAACTTCTTATTTCTCCTTTCTTCCAGAGCGCCTGCCTTGGACTCTCCCTTTTCTCTCCCCGCCTGCACAACTCCACACAAGCACTACCAGCCCGACCCTTCAGGCCAACTTTTGGGGCTGGTGTGAATACTAATTTAGTGTAGAGGAGTATTTCAAGAGCTAATCAACTAGGCTCTTTCTACAGCCAATGGAGAGAGACAGGTCTCTTCAGAGCACGGTGCATCCAACCAAAACCAGAGTTCATAATTTTTTCAGGGATGCCTCTCTCCCTCCAAGTTAGATTTACTTTCTCTACCTCTGGTGACACAGTTCAGCATTCCTTTAACATAAGAACATCATCTTGGGCAAAACTACAGGTTTATTTTGAACAAACTGATATGAGGTGACCAACCACGTGGTACAAGAGGCAGAACCCCCTGCAATAGTTAAGGTAGACTTCAAGAAATACAACCATCTAAAACAGTCACTGTTACTGGTTACAACACAGACTCAACAGCTCAGAGTAAGAGGATACATCTGTATGTACCTCTGGTTTTCATCCTCTCTCTCATCTGGGAAAGCCCACAAAACAGAGTTTGCAAACAAAACATTTCTATTGAGCAAATAAAGTTTTAACCTTCTGTGTTACTTATATTTATTTGGATCCTCAGCTCATTTGGATTATGATTTCAATTTTTAAAGAAAGTCCATCAATCTTGAGAAACTCCCTAATCTCCTTCCAAGTGATGCATATAGTATCTGGTTTTTTTTAATGAAGTTAGGACAAACTACGTACACTTACCTTGGAAGGAATACATCCAACATTCAAACAGGTTCCACCTAATGTTTCATTTTTTTCTACACAGACAGTCTGAGGAAAAAGAATAGGGGGGAAAAGAGGTTTTTAACAATACAAGGCCACCATTTCCTTACAAGATATCTCACAAATTAGAATTGATGACAAAGACCAGGCATTTATCTAGTAACTCCTCCTCTACAAGTGTCTCATTGTTTTTTTTCCTAGATTAATTTTGTGGATCAGATTTCCCCTACCTCATTTTTTTTCTTAACTCAAAACCCACAAATGGCTCTTTGCAACAAAATTCTCTATCAGAAGAGTCACATTCCCTATCGCACCATTTGTACTCTCATACAAGTTTAAGTGCTGTTCTTCTACTTCAAAAATCCACAAAATGGCCTCAAATACAATACTCAGTTCTGTGAAAGATGTTCCCTTTACAATTAAAAAACCCCAACATTCTGCAAAAAGCAAAATATGTAAATCATGCAAAAGATTCCTAAAAACAAGTAATCACAAGTAAACAACAGATAAATGAAACAGCATAAATGAAACAGCACAGGTAGAAACTGCATGAAGTAATCTTTTCTTTAAAGAAAACAAAACAGAACAAAACCCCAAACCACAAACAACTTTTCCCTCTCTAAGCACGCTGTCCTGCAAGACCCAGTGCTACAGAGTTGTGCAATACCTATAAAGACAGAAAAAATTAAAATTAAGTGAAGCAAAACCAAGCAGAAATAAAGCAAATACCAACAGGGATGGGAAATATTTCATGTCTTTCTCATCAACTTGCCAACAACAAAGTGTGCAAAGAAAAAAAAAAAATTCAAGTAAAAAGAGATCACTTGGAGGGGGAAGGGAGTATCATAAACCTTTTTTATAGACGCAGAAGAATTGGCAACTACTCCTTTGCATGGTGCACACATGTTCAAAATAATACTTCCTTGGTTTATATTCTAAGAGCTCCAGTCTGCTAAGAAGTGATGGCCCAGGTGAAAGCTTTTCGTCATTTCTTTAAATTCCTGCTTTTGTGCTAAAGTAGAGGTGATGGCAACATGAAGAGCAGAATTTACCACATCAAATCACAGAAACACACTGAGACATCCTGGTCCCCTATCTATTCTTCTGCCTGTTTTAAGGACATGAATGCATGAAAAATGATCCAAGGGCTTTAAAAGCCGCACTATGTACCAAACAGCGCCAAAGTTTGTTTGATCTTTACCTCATAAGGAGGTTCTGCCTCATCCACTTTACATTAACTTCACCAACAAGGCCAAAGCAAAACTGTTGAAAAGCCAATGCCCAGAGAACATTGTTGGCAATACCGTGGGGTGCTGTGGTGCTGACACAAGGACTTAACGCCCGTGCTAGCAGACGTAGCACTAAAGTTGAAGGTTAAGGTTCAGTAATGCAGTTCAGCACACGCAGGTTCTCCCATGGGTGGGGTAACTATAGAATCTATTTTTTGGCCCATCTCACTAGAAGATCTCCTTACATTTCTCAAGAACAACATAAACATGTGAAGCAGTATAACAAAAATATTTTTGCTATGATGAAAGAATCCAAGGCACTTTTTAACTTCCTTGTACATGGCATCCTGTTGTTAGTCACAGATATGAAGGACCTGAGGACAGCATCGCTCCAAGAAAAGCGGCATACAGCCACAAAACCCAGCTTTAGAATAAACAAGCATGAACTTACATGGCCAAAGGCCTCAATCTCAATTAAAACCTGTAGCACTGAGCATCTTTTTTCCCCAGGTACTAATAGCTCAGTAACAATATACATCTAAAAGCAGGATTATTTATTAAGACAAAAAAAAAGTCACAAACATGGATAAAGACAACTCAATTATCTGCACTAGGTCACAGGCAGAGGTAAAACTTCTTAACAGAATCTCAAACATTTCTATTTTGGCCCAGTTACACATTAGAAGGCTGAAAGACACCCAACGAGAGATCACTGAAACCCAGTTGTGGGAGTAATGACCAATGAGGGACAACGTGTTCCTGTGTGACCTACTCTAGGTGGCCCTGCTCTGCAGGTGGGTTGGACTAGATCTTTCAAGGTCCCTTCCAACCCCTGACATTCTGCGATTCTGTGAACACTCAGAATTACAGAGAAGTTTAAGGGACCTCCTCTGCAGGCCATCTAGTCAAACCTCCTGCTCCAAATACAGTCAACATCAGAGATGTATCAGTGGCTCAGGGTCCTGTACAGCCAAGTTCTGAAAACATCCAAGGATGAAGACTACACGCTATCTGGGCCCCCAGGTCCAGTGCTTCACTGGAACTCCATTCATCAACAGGAGCTTCTGTCCTTACCAGGTGGTCTAATCAACTCATTCTTGTCATGAAGTCCAGCTGCCATAATTCAGAAGCCAGCAGGAACATGCTCAAGGCTGCTAGCACCGCCTTCTCAGATTACAAAATGATTAAGAGAAGACTAATGCAATGCCAAGAGAGTAAGTTGGTCTCATATTAAGGAGTGAAGGTAAAAAAATATCCTGCTTAAGTCACACTCTTTATTTTCTTAAGTTCAGAAAATCTGAAATATGTTATGCACGTGCAACTCTCAGAATACTCAAATGACACATCATCAGTACACATCAGGTAAAAGTTGCCACTTTCAAAGGGCATTCAAAGACAACAGACAGAACAGAGCTGAAAATACAAAAATGTAAATTAGATACTATAGTATTTCTACAGACATATTTTCACCTCTGAAATTCTCACACAGCAATGGCATTCC